CCTCCCCCCCCAGGGCATCCTCCCTGACCCACCCCACAGCCAGCCTAGTACCTAATGACAGGCAAGGCCTCGCGCTCCCCTACTTCCACCCCCCTAGCTGAGCCAGCCACGCCCAGGGGCGGGGCACATACCAGGGCCCGCTTGACATACTCCTCCTGGGCTGCCTTGGCATTCTCCTTCTTGCCACCCCAGGCCTTGAGGGCCGAGGCCTGCAGGGCGCGGCCGTAGGAGAAGGTCAGAGCCCAGGGTTTGTGCAGGGGGCACTTGTTGATGGCATTGAGGTTGAGGGCCCCCTAGCTGAGCCAGCCACGCCCAGGGGCGGGGCACATACCAGGGCCCGCTTGACATACTCCTCCTGGGCTGCCTTGGCATTCTCCTTCTTGCCACCCCAGGCCTTGAGGGCCGAGGCCTGCAGGGCGCGGCCGTAGGAGAAGGTCAGAGCCCAGGGTTTGTGCAGGGGGCACTTGTTGATGGCATTGAGGTTGAGGGAGGCCTCCTCCTCGCTCTGCCCGCCCGACAGGAAGGTGATGCCTGTGGAGGGAGGGGGCAGGGTGTCAGCGCCTGGGCGAGGGGCACTAGTTCCAACTGGGGCCAGGCTGGTGCAGCCTTAGGGTCCTAGGAGGAGGCTGGGCTGGTTCCGGCAGTGCCCTGGAGGGGAGCCCCAGGAGTCCACGTCCTCTCCCTTCCCCCAGCCAGCCCTGCCTGGGGGGTGCCCACAGGCAGGGAGGCTGTTCCCCCAGTGCCCACCAGGCACAGCGGGTGGCACGGTGCGGCGCAGGGCGGTGACAGTCGCCATGGCGATCTCCTCGGCCAGCCGTCACCATGTTGGGTTTGAGAAGGGTGCCCTCCAGGTAGACGTGGTGGTCACTCAGTGCTTTGTACACAGCGGCCAGCACCTGGGGGAGGGGTCAGAGAGAGCAGGGTCAGGCCCTCAAGCTGCCAATGGTCCCCAGGAGGGGAGCTGTCCCGCACCCCACTTCCAGCCCCAGCTGTGAGGAGACACCCGCTGCCCCCGGGCCCTCTTACCTTCTCTGTAACGTACTGACAGCGCTTCAGGTCGTGGTCCCCATCCGGAAGGATTTCTGGCTCCACAATGGGCACGATCCCGTTCTGAGGGGACAGGCAGAGGGGCAGGGTCAGAGAACACCACACTTGGCCTGGCCCACCTGCTGCCAGCTCAGCATCCCCTGAACCACAGTGCACGGGCTCTGTCCCACCCGGGGGCCTAAGGGATCCCGGCGGCCCTGTGCTGCGGGGCAGGGAGCTGCACCGCAGGGCTGCCCACCTGCTGGCAGATGCTGGCGTAGCGTGCCAGGACGTTGGCGTTCTCCAGGATGGCCAAGTAGGAGGGGGTGTGCTCCGAGATCTTCAGCACGCAGCGCCACTTGGCAAAGTCGGCCCCGTCCTTCTTGTACTGGGCGCAGCGCTCGGACAGCCCGTCCAGACCTGGGGGGCAGAGCGTGAGCCAGGGGCTGGTGCCGGGAGGGGCCCCGTGCTGGGCGGGGCAGGGCTGCCATTGGGCACAGCCCATGTCACTCACCCTGGGTGGTGGTCTCGCCGTTTGTTCCAGCCAGGGGCACGACACCTTTGTCCACCTGTGGGGCAGAGGGGTGGGTCCATTCCGTTCAGTCCCCAGCTCTCCACATTGTCCCCCCATCACTCTGCTTGGGGCCACTGGCCCCTCCCTCCTTGGCCCTGCACCCACCCCCACCCACGCTCACCTTGATGCCAATCACGCCGCCCTTGTCCTTGATGACCTTGGGGAAGGGGCGGGCGTCGTCGGCCTTCTGGTACATGGTCTCGTGGAAGAGGATGACGCCCCCGATGCAGGGGTTGACCCGCTCGTCGGCCGTGAACAGCAGCTGGCGATAGAAGCGCCGGTTCTCCTCCGTGTTCTCCGCGCCGATGGAGCTCAGCCGCTTGGCGATGCTGCCTGTGGGGCGAGGCTGTCAGCTGGCGCCCCACTCCCTCCGTAAGCCCCTCACTCCCGACCCCTGCTCCCCAGTTGTGGGGGCTCTGCCAGTCAGCTCCCAGGGAGCCTGGCTCCCCACAGCCCCTCACCCCTCCGTAAGCCCCTCACTCCCGACCCCTGCTCCCCAGTTGTGGGGGCTCTGCCAGTCAGCTCCCAGGGAGCCTGGCTCCCCACAGCCCCTCACCGGTGGACTCATCTGCAGCGAGGATGCCCTTGCCCCGGGCCACGA